TATTGCGAGGAATAACAAGAGAGAAGCCAGAGCAAGTAAGTATAGAGAGAGAAAGTGTATTTAGAAAGTGTGCAGCGTTTATGACTTGGTTACAAATGGGGGAAAGGGGTGCTATTTATAGTAGCAATAAATGCCGGACAGGGACACGTGTCAAGCGCCCATTGGCCGAGAGGTCATCTCAACTGGTTGGCGCTGGCAGCCGCATGTGGCCGCATTTAATGCGGCTGTTGGATGGGACGTTTGTACAGGGTACGGTGATCTGTACGCATGTGGCGCGGATATTATGTCGGGAGAGGTGCCCTCGGCTGCAGAGGACTAGCCGAGGGCTCTGAGTACCGGGGACCCCCTGGGTGCCGAGGGCTCCAGGTGCCGAGGGCCACTGTTTTCTGCCGTTTTTCTCTCAGTTTCTTAGTTTGCTTGAAAACCCATTCTGTGAGAGATTTGAGCCTTCGGCCAGGGGGCCGAAGGCTCCCCAGTGTGCGCTGTGGGCTGCTAAGTGCTTGGGGCGCCGTAATTCGGGGCCTGCTGTGCTTCCTAGGCCAGTTAGGCCTTTATTGGTGTAGTAGGAGTCTGTGGGCCGGGGGTTCCCGGGCCATATACTCCATCAAGCTTTAATTATTGAGGCATAAACTTCATATGTATGTATGATGTTTCCAACTCCTCCCATCCCTCTTGCTTGAAATAGAAATAATATAATTATATTCCACAATCAATGGGGATCGTTGGAATTGGGAAACATTGTCAACATATGTAGTTTCAAAGTTTTGAGTAAGAATATTAACTTTTCATTTTTTCCTACGTTTAAGCATTTCACTTTGCCATGTTTTTTTAGACAAACAAGAGATATTTTCCTTGGTTATCAGAAATGTGATAAAACTAATCTTAAATCGGGAAACAAGCGACATTTTCTTAGTTTTCAAAAATTAGATTAAATTTGGGGAAATTTGAATTTGCGCCCTCATTTTACTATCCAAATTAGACTTTGCATCCCGTTTTTAAAAAAACATTGTGTTTGCACCCCAACCTCATATCATTGTATGAAAAGATAAAATTGCCCCTCAATTAACAATTCTATTGCCCTTCAACATATTCCTGATCGAGAGGCACTTTTGTCTTTTCATACGGGGTTAGGTGCAAGTACAAAGTGTTTTAAAAACGGAGTGCAAAGTCTAAATTGGACAATAAAATAAGGTGCAAGCTCAAATTTCTCATTAAATTAGTCTTAAATTTGGAAACTGCTAAATGTATATTACTAATGTACTCCTAATAATAACCCCTATATTTTTTTCTGGGTTTAAACATTTCAGTTGCCACGTTTTTTTGTTCCGACAAACAAGAGACAGTTTCCTTTTTTTTCCAATGTGGTTAAGTTAATCTTAAATCTGGTAACAAGAGGCAATTTTCTTAGTTTTCAAAAATATGATTAAATTATTCTTAAATATGGAAACTGCAATATGTATATTACTGAGTATATTACATTATTAATATACATTAGGAAGTTTCGAGATTTAAGACTAATTTAATGAGTAATTTTAGTTTGCACACCATTTTATTGTCCAAATTAAACTTTGTACCCTGTTTTTAAAAAACTTCGTATTTGCACCCCAGCCCCGTATGAAAAGACAAAAGTGCCCCTCGATCAAAAATATGTTGAAGGCCAAAAGAATTGTTAATAGAGTAGCATTTACTTCTTTTCATACGAGGTTCGGGTGCAAATACAAAGTTCTTTTAAAAATGAGGCGCAAAGCCTAATTTGGACAATAAAATGGGATGCAAACTCAAATTACCCCAAATTCAATCAAATTTAATTTTTGAAAACTAAGAAAATGTCTTTTGTTTTCAGATATAAGAATAGTTTAATCACATTTTTGAAAACTAAGGAAAATATATGTTGTTTGTCCAAAAAATCACGGCAAAGTGAAATGTTTAACTATAGGAAAATATGGAAAAAATATCATTAGGAGGACCCTTCCTAGTAACAACCCCTCTATTTTTTCCTAGTTTTAAACATTTCACTTTGCCATGTTTTTTTGTTTGGACAAACAAGACATATTTCCCTTTTTTTAAATGTGATTAAGTTAATCTTAAAGCTGAGAACAAGAGACATTTTTCATAGTATTCAAAAATATGATTAAATTATTCTTAATTCTGGAAACAGCTAAATGTATATTACTATAATGTAGTCCTCCTAATAATAATAACTGCATTTTTTTCATAGGTTTAAATATTTCACTTTGCCATGCTTTTTTTGTTTGGACAGACAAGAGATATTTTCCTTTTTTCTCAAAATGTGATTAAATCATTAAATTGATCTTAAATTTGGAAACAAGAGACATATTTCGCGTATCTCATCACATTTTTCAAAACTCATCCAAAAAGTCACATATTATAATTTTAACATGTATAAACACTCCACATAGTTCAAATAATATCAAATTTCGTATTATGGCACAAAATTCACATATAAATTTCTGAAAATAATTGACGAGGAAAAATAGTAGGTTTTGGTTGACATACACACTTATCTCGATTCACGATAAATCCTATTTGAAGCATTTTTTTATCTCCGAATGACCTTCTAGTATATTAAAATTCCAAATTAATAATTATACTAGTTCCTTTCTAATTCATATCTCACTTTATGGTCCAATTAATCCATTGTTTTATTATTATTATTAATTTTATTATTATTATTATGATCATTATTATCGCTATTAATATCAATACTATTGAGTTTTATATTTCATGGCTCAACTATTCAACACTTCCGACCCAAACTTAATGAAAACAAACAAGTGAGGATGATACGTAGTATACACGTACGGCCAGTCGTCTTCCTCGCGCAGCCCAGCAATTTTAGGGATGGAATCAGGGGCGAATCCAGGATTTCATGTTGGGGTGGGCTGAACCACTTAAATGATACTCCCTTCGTCCCTCTTATATTGTCCCGTTTTACCTTTTCGGGAAGTCCCACTAAAATTGTCTCATACCATATTTGGTAAAGTTTGTGTGGTTCTAAATCCTTCTTACTTTATTCTTGGTCCAAAAAAAAGGTGGAATCTCCCACTCCAGGAGCCCCCCATACCCCGACCCGACAGGATTTTTGGGAGGATGTTAATCACGGTGACTCAGTCGGCCCAATGATGGTAGGCCTTTTTCCCGTGCGCACCAGAGGCCCAACCTTATTTCAGGTTCTGTGACCTCCACACGGCCGCTGCGGGTTTCGAACCTTGGTCACTTGGTCCAAATTTCCCACCACTGAACCAACTGAGCTACCCGTGCGGGTAACTCTTCTTACTTTATTCTTACTTTATCAATTAATGTCAACCACACAACCCCACTTTTCTTAATAATCGTGTCACTTTCTTCCGACCCAAAATAAGAGGGACGGAGGTAGTAATACATTGAAAATTTTCAAAATAAGCAATAAATTTGTGTAGAAACTCATCAACAATAGAGAGTCTACGAGCCCGTTTGGAAATCACGTTTTTCGGCTTATTAGGCTTATCAGCCAAAATTTTCACTGAACAAGTAACTTTTAATTTCAAGATTAAATTGTGTAAAAATTAGAAAAAGTAAGGTTGAAATTGCAAATTACTTTTCTGGCAGTATAGGCTGAAATTACTGTAGATGAGCATTTTAGGTATTTTTTATATAATCTTTTATTTATTTTATTAATAAAATATATTTTAAATAATACCTCTGTCTCAATGGTTATTGCACACTTTGAATTAGGTGGAAAATAAGAACAGTAAAAATTGTAAGATTGAGATTTGTGCAGAGAAGAGGGAAATGAGCAGAACCACAAATTAGTTACTATAATGAGAAAGTAGCAAAAGTTTTTTAAAACAACCAAAAAGGAAAAGTTGGCAAAATCCAATGGGATGGATGAAATATAATTTTTACAAAAATTTGCAGAATCAATCAATCTATCCACTTCAGCCAAAACTTCATAAGTTTTTGAAGAATCAACTAATTCAACCGATTTTGATATTACCAAATGGGCTCTACATCTATACTAAGAATAAAGTCTCTCTTAAGCTTAATCCAACAGATATAATAAATATAGGTATAATTATGCTGTATGAATGCTCTATTTTTACGTGGAAACCTGAAAGAGAGAAAATCAAGAGACTTTTTATGCTAATATCCAAGCTCTCTCATTTTATTAATACTCCTCACCATTATCACATTGTACAAGCTCCCATTAATGGAGTATTCAAACTCTAGAGAGAAAGGGGGGAGAAGAGGATAAGAGAAGCAAAGAAGGATCCCCCAAAATAGGAGGGAAGCCTCCTGTTTATAGAAAATAGAGAAGGGGTACTAGGTTGCTCTAATGAGCCAAAATGGGCCTAAGGGGCCGAAACAAGCCTGATAGGCTGAAATGGGTCTCCACATTCGGGCTCCGTACTGGGGCATGTCTTGAGCTCTTGAACAATAATAGGCCGGGATAATATATCCCAACAATCTTTTTCAATATAAAGTGTCATGCAATCTGCAAGAAAGTCATCAGCCATTTTGTTGCGGAGTGTAGTAGCAACAACTAAGATCTCTTAATCATCCTCCCCTCACCTAAAACATTAACTATCAATTCATCTTCCATTCATCGCAACCTGAGAAACCATCATTTCATCGTCCATTTATCGCAACCTGAGAAACCATGCATTTCCAATGTCATTACATTACTTACTGTTTAGAAAGTGCAGAGGTGAATCATGAATGTAGCAGCATGCCATGATTATTAGTTATTTCTTTAGAATTATTTATGTTAGTTTTCCTTCTCATATAAGCTAAGACCTTCTCTTATTATTAGTATATATAGATTTTTATTAAAATAAATACACCTTGATCGATTTAAAGAATCAACACTGCCCAAGTTTTCAATAATGGTAGGGCTTCATTTTCTTTTTTGAGACTCACTAATCATATCCTAATCATCTTTGTCTAGGTTTCTTAACATTTTTAGCTATTAAAGTTTATATGTTTGTTGGCAGTTACAGCTAAAGTTGGTGTGTCTCTTTTTTTAGCTTTTGCATGCTTCTCATCCCGAAGTTAATTGTACACCTATGTATCACATGAAGTGGAGAAGCATCACCAATTAGCAACTTCCTGATTTCATTTGTAAGACCAACAATGAAACCAACAATCTGCATAGGAAATGATCAGGTGAGTTATGGCAATGATGTAGGGTAACATTGTTGAAGACTTGAAGTTGGACAATGCCATGGAAAAAGAAGTTTACATACATCTCCAGTGGTTGAAGGTGTTAATATGCTCTTCAGATTGATCTTCCTTGAAAGCATCTCATGATATATGCTTTTCATCCCGAAGTTAATTGTACACCTCTGTATCACATGAACTGGAGCAGCATCACCAATCAGAAACTTCCTGATTTGCTCTCCTCTACGTATCAAAGCATCACACTTCACACTCATAGTTTACTTAATTAGAAATAGGCATTATCATTTGATTCACTATTGATTCCCATTGTACTAAAAAGCAAGTATTTCTGTCAAATCCATAAAAAAAAGTATCCATACCGCCATCGAAAGTGAAGCACAGCACATTCCATAGGTATGACAATTGAGTAGATCTCCAAGTGGGCTGCCTTTCTCCTGACAAACTGCTGGAATTATAATAATAAGCATGTTGCCCTAAGTTTTCTGTTCATACATGCAAGGAAAAAAGCTTATAAATTACCATGTACATAAATCCTGAAATTTTGCATTATCATACCATATTGGGATTTAGAAGACTTTGTTTTGAACAAGGGATGCTCTAAAATTACTAAGTTCCATATATGTTACTCCCTCCGTCTCATATTTAACTCCGGTTTTGACCGGGCACGAGTTTTAAGATAGTGAGATTTGTGTGGTGGAGAGTTATGCAGAGGAGAGAGAAATGTGTAAGAATGGTTGTGAATCACATATTCTTTACCAAAAAGGGAAAAAGGATATAAATTTGGGACGGACCGAAAAGGAAAGAATGAAGATAATTTCGGGACGGAGGGAGTATTATCATAAGCTTTTCAATGTTTTAGGGGAGAAAAGTGAAATCTCTCTCTAAACGCCCCCAAATTAGGTGGTATCCTGCTAGAGAATGCAAGGCAGGAGTGTTTCTGTCTATGGTCAGTGTTGTAGACTAATTTCCCCCAAATTAGTCCGAACTTTCTATAATCGGTGTTGTAGACTTGTAGTGCGAAGGTATAAGTTTTTACCTCCATCGATATTAAGATTAACCAAATTCGTTTTAGAAAAGGGAGTGAGAGAGATAGAGAACTAGATGAGTATACAAATAAAAAACAATAAAAATGCATTGTTATGATACATTACATTTTTGTCCATAGTTGTCTTCATCAACAAATAACAATATTAAGGAGTGTAAGATTTTAAATATAATATATTTTTTCATAAATCAACATATCAGCCAATCCAGCCACTTCAACTAGAACTTACATATTTGTGCATAACTTCTACTCCCTCCATCCCATTAAAAGGTTTCCACTTTCCTTTTTTGGACGTCCCATATAAAGGTTCTCGCTTCCATTTTAGGAAATAATTAACAATCTTAAGTGATAAAATAATCATTAAATATTTAAAATAATAGACTTATAACATCACAATTATCAATACTAACCGCATTATAATATATAACTATTAAAATTATTTCTCAAAATATACTCTAAGTACTTAATTTAATTATTGTCTAAATAACCGTGCCGTTTTGCTGTGGGAACCTTCCAACGGGACAGAGGTAGTATTTTAATAGTTTGATAAATGCATTTATCTAGTTACTTTATACTACGTAATATCTATATTCATACATTAACTGTATTGGTCTCATTACGCTACCGCTTATCTCAACTACATATGAAACATTTGACTTAAGTATTATTTAAAAATGACCCACCATTTTAATATTGTATATAATTAAATTTTGATCTCCCTCACATGTTTTTGTTGCTCCACCACAACGCCACCGAATAAAAGTCAAGTAAACCTGGCTCAATTAGTTGGTCAATTGATTGTCGTCACCCACCCAGTTGGATAAAAAGAGTCATTTGAACGTAATATGAGGGTATATTTGAAATTATTTCACTTTGAACAATGAATATTGAGATTTTGTCAAGAAATTATACATCAATAAGACAATACGGGGTTCTTAGGCTTAGTGTTTTGTGAATTTATGGAAAAAAGTTGGGGTTTTGACATGAATATTACTAAAAAATAGGCAATCGACAAAAAAGATACATTTTGTTTTAATATCCAAATATGTGACAAATAGGCAATTTCTTTACTAAATTAACCTCCTAACTATTTAGCACCGCATAAGGATGGCAATATACTCTGTTTTTCCATTGCATTTCATATCAAAGGCGCACCCTCATCTTGCTAAACTTCTAACAAGCTTCTAAATTACTACGTACATCGGTACATAGGATGATAGGAGCAAAACACTTCGTAACAATGCATTTTGTAACAATGGATGCTTCTTTGATTTTAATATTCTCTCTTTATATTAAAAAAATTGAAAATGGCTTAATATGTGTGCGAAAATTGAAAATGAATTTTGAGAAATCATTTTAAAGCTTCTATTTTTTGGCAAAGTCTATCATCATCACTTAAATTTCCGACGTTCCATTCACTACTACATTTTCGAGTCTAATGTAACAATAAAATTGCAACACTTGTTTAAAGTGTTACAAAAAATTGGCATATTGTAATAATTTTAAACACGTCGTTACATTAGATCAACTATTGTTATATTAGTCATGTGCTAATGTAACATTACTGTAACTATAGAAACATCGTTACATTTAGTTTAATAAGTGTTACATTTAGGAAGATTGAGCGTAACATTTTGATATTTCGAAGGTATAAAAACAAGGGGCAAACTGAATTTCCCCAAAATCAAAGTTTCCGCCATTTTTTATTAGATTAATCCCCAAAATCAAAATCAATCAAAGTTTCAATCTAGTAACCCTAAGTAGCCTCTACCGGCCTTTAATTTCAGATCTGGCTCTACTCGACTAGTCGACTCTTCTTTCATTCATCTTTTTTGTCATTGCTTTATTTTCCTATTCATTCATCAAGATGAAGTCGAGCAAGCAAGTGAAACCTCAGGAAATAGTGCGCCGACAAGAATACACCTAGAGGTAGTATGGAGGGACGACCAACAAATTCTCCGGTTCCTCTCTCTGGACAACCCTAAGAAACCATTCTTCCGGCGCCCAAAAAACTTGTGTGATAGTGGCTAGGTATATATGAGTATGTTTTTGAACTCTCAGTAATTGTCTCAGCGACCTTGAGTCCTACAGCGGTTAGCTGGTACAACATTCCATGGCCACCCACACAGCCTCTTCTTTCCCTGTCTCCAACTATATCTAGGTAAAAATATTTTGTATGCTATATATTTTGACATTTAAAAATTCTTTGTGCTCACATTGAAATTTTGATATACCTCTTTATTTGGATTGGTTTAGTTTCCTTAATTTTGATATAAAGCATAAACATTTTTGTTTGTAAATCTTGTTTTGTGGTGTATACAATGTGTTTGTGAAAATGTCTTAAAGAGGATTTCTACTTCAAATCATTATTTGCTTCTATATTTTACATTCTCGATCATCTGTAGTTGAAAGTTTTGTTTAAACTCATACCCTATCTTAGTGAAGGTGTATGTAAACTGAGCCTAAATTCTAGTGAAACTGATTTAGGTCAAGGAAATGGAATTACAAATAGCTAGACTGCTGGACTTGGAACCCCAACATCTCTGAAGACCTTCTTTTCATCTCATTTGAACTTTTATCCATGTTCAACCTTGATTTCCAACTTTATAGTAAAAACTATATTAACAAGTATATTATTACATGCTTTACTCTTATTTTGAATTTTGCAGATATGGACAGGCAAATGCCTTGCTAATATTTACTTACTTAGTTCTTTATGTATGTAGTACTAATTCAATCATTTATTTATTTGTTTGATTATTTGATTCTTTATTTTTGACAGGTTTATGGTGCCTGGTTATAATAGGATGAAGCAGAGGAAGTTTTTCCAAGAGGTTTGGGGAACTTTTTTTATGGCTAATATATACCTTCATTGCATTATAATACCGAGCATGTTTTTATTTGATCTTAAAAGAGTAAACTCAAAATCTTGTCTCACTAAGTGTTGGAGTCTATCCCTGATATTACACATCCTGTTGATATATATGCATCAACAATTATTTAGAGGAAAGTTATTATAAGTCTATAAGACTATAACGTAACTTGAATTGACTTTTTAAGGTATTGTCTCAATTGATAACTAATTTATTTAGTTCTTCCTCCATAAATTGACTTTTTAAGGTATTTCTTCTTCCATTGGTTGAGATCCTTTGTTGAAGGAAATGTTGTTGCTCAAGTATTACTGGATCATTAAGATCTAAGTATTTCAATGTAAGATTTTGGGTACTATGTAACTTATTATGACACTAACAACTATATTTTTTATTTTACATATGAGGGACATAACACCAGATGAAAATGAAATACTGGAACCCTGTAATGTATGATGCTTCACCCAGAGTGTTTCTCCATATGATGAGAGGTTTAGTATCTTATGAACATATATTGCAAAAGACTCTATGGTAGAAAATTAATTTTCACTAACCTAGATCTGTATTGCATGTATCTAGTAGCACCAACTAATTTTAAGAGTTTCAGGTATTGCAATGAGGTGATACCCGTTGCTCATGATAAGTACTACACAACTGACATTGCATTTTTTATTTGAGCTACTTTTAGTTTTCATTTGAGAGGTAAGTTAATCTTGCCTTTTTGGTTGATGAATCCTACGTTCATTGTCATTGTAGTCTATTTGATTAATTGGTTTAGACTCTTAAATTATATAGATAATAAACGTGTGTTGAAATTTCCAATTAATTTGATACTACATATATGTAATGACTAAACTAGATCAAATATGTTGTCATGGAAAAAACTGATGTATGAGAAAACACATGACATGTTCCCTCCAAATATAGACTTTAATATTTGTTTAATAAGTTTAAAGATTACTTCACTGTCATTAGAGTACATTTATTCATAATTATTAGTTTCAGATTTATTTATTTTTAATGTCATTGTGTAAATTTTGAAACATTCTAATTGATAAAAATCATCGATTGGGCTGTATCTAAATGATCAAATCCCGTGTTAAGCATTTTTGAAAGCTTTGAAAGGTATAAAACAATATTCCAATGTGCCCTATATGTTTCAAGCATGTAATGAGTATATGAAACATTGGTTTGTAGAAATTGACAAATGTAAGCATTGGCTCATTGGTATAACGACAAAGTTGAGAAACATTAGAAGTTCCATGGAAATAACCTCTACCCTGAACTCTCCTACCACCATACTTTTGTGGAAAAAAAATTCTCAAGTGATATCTTCCAAAGTATTAGTCTCTGATCTTATTTATGAGACAAACTTTTTAACTGTTTGAGAAAATATATCTTTGTTTACATGGAACCAATTGAAATACTTAATTAGACTTTGATCTTTTTTATCAGAAAAACTTTTTAATTGTTGAGATGATGTGTTTATGGTAGAAGCTACAGGAGAAGAAGCGTGTGTTATGTTGCGGCGACTAACCTCCATCTAGACCTGCACAATACCGGGCCGGC